CTCATATGTAACATATTGTAAATCTGGAAAACTATTGTAGTTAGAATCTTCAAAATCGTTAAGTGGATTTTTTATTTGTACATATTGCTTTTAGGGTAGCAAAGCACACTGGGTATAGCTAGTTGTCTATATATTCTTATATATGATATTTCTATTTTCCATCTGTCTCATGTGTTCAGTGTATAAAGTTACTACGAAACTACGGTTTCAACAGAACACGACTGTTATTGACTATCAGTTAATATTGCACAAATTTACATGCATTCACAGATGCACATGAAATACTTAGACAGGCATGCATATGTACGTGTATGCAATTGTAATATGATTGCATAATGTGTATTTATAAAATAATACATCCCTGCAATTCGGGGTGATAGCCCGAACTGATGAATTTTGACATTTTTGAAATGTTTCTAAAGCATTTATACCAATTATTTTAGAAGACGAAATGTACATATAAGTATTTAGACAAATACCATCTAAAGGGGATACTTTAACTCCTTATAACATTGTTGGGATATGAATGTTCATGATTTTAGCACCAATACTTATCTATGTATTTGTTGAATTATCAAAATTTTTTGTGAATTGTAAGCACTAAGTTTTGGAGTAAAAGTACTATATTGTTCCTACTAAACTATAGTATATATAGTAGGTATACAAAAGTTCAATTGCATTATATTCGTATACGACATTAATGTTCTTAACTATAATTTGAAAATATTTCAAGCCTGGCTTTCTTTTTCATTCATATTTATAAATTATTTTGCCATTTTATACTCCACCATCAAGAAAAATGTGTACCCCCATCTTGTTTGATGGCGCGGAATAAAACTCCTTCTTAGAATTTCATGGTTACAGTCCATATTTGACCTTAGCTTCCCAAATTTCTAAGGAGACTATTGATTTTTTTGTAGATTCTACACCTGACCATCCATATATCTTGTGTAGAGTATTATATGGTCGGCCTCGCCCGACTATATCTTCTTAATTGTATAAAATTTCTAGTATCCAACTCATTCAAAAACTATAAAAACTTTTATTTCGTCTTTACATAATCACGAGGAGGACTTTGCGGGAGAGAGGTTTTGAATTGCATCAAAGTTATGTGTGCAGAATTTTATCGCTGTACTCGTATTTTTAAGTTAGTAATGAGTGTTAAAGTAATTTTCTGAAGGGTACTTTATATGGGAGGTAGGATCAATTATGGATCGATCCTCAAAAAATTTGGCAGGGAAATTTCTCATATGGAACTTATTTATATCGAATTTCATCGCTATACTCGCACTTCTGAAAGAGTTATGCCCGTTAAAGCTGTTTTTCGAGTGTCCACTTGTATGAGGGCTACCCGAAAATGTGAACCTTACCTATAGAGAATATTTGTGGAAAATTTCAAACCTCTATCTCATTCCGTTCGGACTCTATCGTGTTTTCAACAGACAGACAGACAGACGGACGGACGGACGGACATGGCTAGATCGTCTTAGACCAATATTTCGATGTGTTACAAACTTAATGGCAAAATCAATATACCCCCCTTTTTTTTGTATGGTGGGTACAAAAGTAATCAAACACAAATACACCTTTTGACTACAAATATTATTTTATGTGATTTGCGAAACTCAAGAAGGTAATCTAATATCACTGTGCTTGTCTAAATGTAAAAGTATTTTCCTTGTGAACGACTCAATGAGGCAACATCCTTTTTTTTAAACATTCATACATGTGTTCTTGACAATATTTTTGTCAATTTATTCTACACTACTTGTCTACAAGTGGTAAACTAATTTCGTTTTTTAATAAGTCTACACCTACATGTACCTACACCACATAGAGACACATATAAATTTAGTATTCATACCTTAACTTAAACTAGTACTTTTATAAGTTCAGCTATATGGTGTTTTCAGTTTTAATTCATTGGTCTATAGTATTGACTATAGTCTAGTCTCTAGTCTAGATTGTCTGATCCATAGTCTAAAATATAGTCCAGCCTATAGTCTGATCAGACTACTATACTATAAACTGTAGTCTAGACTGTAGTCTAGTATATAAGAATATAGAATACATTTTGCGTCGTGGTTCCAATCAAAATGTTCTGTAGTAATTCAAATAAAACTTGTGTGGATGTTCTTGGAATTTATAGGTGGGTATCGAACCTCAACTGTGCCAACCATGTGTATCAAACGTGTATGGAAAAAGTTAGTATATGTATATTTGTGTGTTTTTATTTTTCAAAGAAATCTAGTTTTTATTTTATGTTAATGATATTTGAAATTTAGGCAAAAAAATATTACACAAAAAAAAGTCTAGTAACTGTTTATGTACAAGTACAATCAGGATGTGTTTGTTGTATTCAATATTGCACTTGACTTATATTTCATACACAAACACCATGTGTAAGTATGTTTAAATGATATACTTACATACATACTTTCATTCTGTTGGTATAGTTACATGTAGTAATATCAGGTACTTTCTTTTTTATTAATTTTAAAGTTTATTGTTTAGAAATAATATGGCAAAATGAAAAAGTGTTCTAAAACAAAGCTACACAGAAAAGAAAATAGATGTACATATTATTACATTTGCCAAAGACGTATGAGCAACTTGTAATTGCAAATTGAAATTCATATATCACTCATACGTTAGGGTGAACTCTTATAAAGAATACAACATACAAAGGAACATGTTTAAAACATAAAGAATTGTGGGAAGGCAAGGTAATGAAGAGAAAGAAAGAAAATGCTAAAATAAAATACAAAATATGTTGAAAGTTTAAATTGATGTATTTTATAGCCTACGTGTAGATGTCTGTCTTTCTGACTTCGACGACAAATGCAAAGAAATATATGCAAGTATGATGGCATCATTTTTCAATAACAATTAAGGAAAATGAGTAATTAGGCAGAACGATTTATTAAATCTTTGTAAAAATGTTCGATACCATAAGTAACTCGAGAGATCAACTCCAAAGGCTCCTTATCGTGCCAAAGCAAAAAATATTGCAAATGTTGTATATGTTTGTACAATGTACATGTAGCTCAAATAAATGTACCAAAGAGACGTGTTTTCTCACAACCAACACTTTTGTTAATTTAACTAATATTCCAAAATTTAATGTTTGCGTATGTGATTAATTTGAAGTGGTAGATAAAGTTTTACCATTTTATGTTCAACTTTTTTGGCTTTTTTGCAACTTATTAAAGCTATAGTATCACTTTTGAAAATGATGTCAATTGCAATTAAACAGAGATGAGTTTTGATTTATGAATTAGAAAGTATTTTTATAACACATTATTAGTAAGACCTTATTACACTACTTCTATATAATCCAAACGATATGTAGTAGTCATTGAAAAGTATGTTGTTATTTAAGTAATTACAATTGAAAGCCATTACCCTGTTTTTGCTGGGTAGAAAATGTTGATCAGATTCTAATAACTTTTTACAATAAAACTTTTTTTAGGAAAGTTTCTCAGATTCTAAGAACTTTTATATAGAAAAAGCTGCACAGATTCTGATAACTTTTCTATAGGAATTATTGATTAGATTATGTGAACTTTTCTATATCAATAGTTTCTCAGATTCTGATAAATTTTCTATAGAAAAAGTTTCCCACATTCTAAAAACGTTTCTGTGAAAAAGTTGCTCAACTTATTCAATTTTGTCTGTGGAAAAATGTTTATTAGTTTCTGATATCTTTTCTATAGGAATATTTTCTCAGATTCTAAAAACTTTTTAATAGAAAAAGTTTCTCAAATTATGAAAAAGTTCTCAGTTTCTGATTCTGATAAATTTTCTATAGTTGCTCAAATTCAGACAACTTTTCTATGGAAAAGTTGCTCAGATTCTGATAACTTTTGTGTAGAAAAAGTTGCTCAGAAAAGTTGTCAAATAAACACTTCTCAATTCCTTCTGTTATCATTAACAAGAATTTGTGACTTGAACTATTAATACTCCGATAAAATTCTTCACAATTTCACTTATTTACTGTTGGCATGTTATGAGCTAAAAGTCTCAAATCGGTAGGTATGGGGGCTAGGACAAAAACTGTTTCGATTCTTATAATATTTAACGTCGCGATTTATGTTTATATACAATTTATTTGTGCCAAATTTCACCGTGATAATAGTGTTTATAAGTGAATTGTGGACATTAAAGTCATTTTCTGAAGGGGATTTTGTATGGGGACTAGGGTCAAATAAGGCACGATGGTTATGAAAATCAACAGTGTTATTTATAAATATATCAAACTTAGATAGTAGTATATTTGACGAAGTTATTAGCTAAAAGGCCCCAATCGGAAGATTCCGGTTATATGCCGATTCTTATAAAATTTATTGTCGGGATTTATGTTTATATAAAACTTATTTGTGCCAAATTTTATCGTGATACTAGTGTTTATAAGTTAGTTGTGGACATTCAAGTCATTTTCTGAAGGGGACTTCGTATGGGAAATAGGGTCAAATAATGGCCGATCTTTACAAAAATCGCTAGTATTATTAAGACATAAAAAAATAAGTTTTGTCAATTTTTGTAGAGATAATGGATCATTTAACATAATTAAGAGGTCAAAAGCTCTATTCGGGGGGTCCGGTTGTATGGGGGCTAGGCGAAATAATGAACCGATTTCAACCATTTTCAATAGCTTTCGTCTTTTGACCAAAATAAGAGCACTTTCCAAATTTAATCAAATTATCTCCTGTAGAGTACGCACAAGGTTTACATGGACACACAGACAGACAGACGGACGGCGGATGGACAGACGGAAGTCTGTCAGGAAGTGATTCTGAGCCGATTGGTATACTTTAAGGTGTGTATAGGACCAATATTTTTGGGTGTTACAAACATAAGCACAAACGAATAATACTCTCCCCACTATAGTGGTGTAGTGTATAATTACATTTAAAAAATTCCATTTTATTGAGAATTGAAGAGAATGAAAACAGAAGCAGACAACAACAATAATAATAATGACAAAAAAATAAACTTACCGATAACATTATGCCGAAATGCCATCGAAATTTTTGCTTCCGTATTCACTTGACACTCATAAATACCGCTTACGTGCTTGCGGAGATTTTACATGTAGAGTCCATTCGCTAGAATCTTTTGATTCTGTCACCTGCAGCAACAATAATGAAATACAGAAAAAAATAAACACTGAAGTTAAATATTTAAAATAGCAAAGAAGAAAAAAGGATATGAATAAGAATGTAGAAAATAAATTGTATGCAAATACATAGAACTTATTATAAAATATAGTGGACTTTTCTATAAAAAAGTTGTTTGAATCAGATAAGAATTTTCAATAGAAAAGTTGTCTGAATCCGATAAGACTTTTCTGAATCAGAGTTGACTTTTGAGTTGTATGAATAAGAGAAAACTTTTCTACAGAAAAGGACTTTTCCATAGAAAAATAATCTGAATCTACAGCAAATTATCTTCAAATCTTTTTGGAGGTAGATTGACATTAATAAAAGTGATACCTATGTTTTACTTGCTCTACTTGTTACAGTTTCTGTATATTTAAAGTTAACTAACTTTATTCCACATTGTGGATTATAACCTTCTATTTAATTGACCTCATTACATTTTATTTATCATAAATAAATAAACCAACATGTAATAATGTATTTTATACGCATGAGTGTTAAGTTGTACTTATTTTGATTGTGAAAATTTTTGTACATCAAAGAAGCGAAAAAAAAAAAACGCGTCAAAATAAAGGACCGAAAATAATGAATAAAAATGTAAAATTGCATCCATCAAATACAAGTCAAAACATTGAACTGACATGACGAAATTTTATTATGCACATGTGTGATGTAAATATCGATTCATCCATCATGGACAATTAATTAAATTGAGTAATTTGAATATAGTGAAAAACGGAATGCGAGTAAAATGAATTTCATCACTAACTTCAAATAAAAACACCCACACGCTGACACACAGATACATCATTATGACATACAAACGCTAACGTTAACATCATAATGTTGATCGTTGTCATTATTATTGCCACTGTTCATCAATGTATGCAAATTTAAGGATGAAAATAAGTGTACTTGTGTGTAGGATATGAAATTGTTGCGGGTGTATGAGTTTATTTGTGCATGTAAAATATTTTCATGCCTGATGATTGTAATTGTATATGCTTGATTGTTTGTTCTTGGGAAGTGGGTGTATAAATAAAATAAATAGCAAAATGTAAAGGAAATTTTTTTATACTAACTAAGTAGAAAACATGTAAGAAATTATAGTAGGGCGTGGCCGACCATATGATACCCTACACCAATTGCGAATATTAAATGTGATTAATTTCAATAATGAAGCATTTCTATTAATCTTATATAGGTTCCAAATAATGTCTGTTCATGTACGGTTGTATGCTGACTAGGAGAAATAAAAGACCGATTTCAATCATTTTCAACAGCCTTCGTCATTGGATCCAGAGAATAGTACGTGTTCCATTTTAACAAATTATATTAAAAATTGTGATCTGTTGCATGCACACAAGGTTTACACGGTCACAAAGACGGACATAGCTTAATAAGGACAAGTATTTTTGAGTGTTTGTGCCGATTTTTGGAGAGATAGTAGAATATTTGACAAAGTTATGAGCTAAAAGGTCCAAATCGGAAGGTCCGGTTATATGGGGGCTAGGGCAAAACTTGGGCCGATCCCTATAAAATTTATTGTTGGGTATTATGTCTATACAAAACTCAATTGTGCCGAATTTCATCGAGATACTAGTGTTTATAAGAGAATTGTGGACATTCAAGTCATTTTCTGAGGGGGACTTTGTATGGGGGCTAGGGTCAAATAATGTCCGATCTTTACGAAAATCACAGAATTATTAAGACATATATAAAACTAAATTTTTCCAATTTTTGTAGAGATAGTAGATCATTTAACATAATTATGAGGTCAAAAGCCCTATTCGGGGGGTCCGGTTGAATGGGGGCTAGGTGAAATAATGGACCGATTTCAACCATTTTCAATAGCGTCCTTGGACCAAGAGAAGTGCACGTTCCAAATTTCATCAAATTATCTCAAAAATTGCGACCTGTAGAGTGCGCACAAGGTTTACATGGACATAGCTTATATTGAAATATATTTTATAAACCATTTTATTCTTCATTATCAATGGCTTTTATTTAAAATAAATTATTAAAAATATTTAAATACTATGAACTTTTTTCTGTATTGATCAATAAATATTTTCTATAAAAAAGTTGCCCGAAACAAAGCAACTTTTCCTGTGGAAAAGAGCAACTTTTTCTATAAAAAAGTTGTATGAAGCAGAGAAATTTTTTTTCATAAAAAAGTTGTCTGAAGCAGAGCAACTTTTTCTATAGAAAAGTTGTCTGAAGCAGAGCAACTTTTTCTATAGAAAAGTTGTCTGAAGCAGAGCAACTTTTTCTATAGAAAAGTTGTCTGAAGCAGAGCAACTTTTTCTGTAGAAAAGTTGTCTAACTTCTGCTTCAGTCAACTTTCTATAAGAAAGTTGACTGAAGCAGAGTAACCTTTTCTATAAAAAAGTTCTTTGAAGCAGAGTAACTTTTTCTACAGAAAAGTTGTCTGAAGCAAAGTAACATTCTATAGGAAAGTTGTTTGAAGCAGAGCAACTTTTTCTATAGAAAAGTTGTCTAAAGCAGAGTAACGTTTTCTATAGAAAAGTTGTCTGAAGCTGAGCAACTTTTTCTATAGAAAAGTTGTCTGAAGCCGAGCAACTTTTTATACCCTCCACCACCATCAGTGGTGATAGAGGGTATATATAAGTTTGTCGTTCCGTGTGTAACACCAAGAAATATTCATCTAAGACCCAACAGAGTATATATATTCTGGGTCCTTATGAAATTCTGAGTCGATTTAGCTATGTCCGTCTGTCCGTCTGTCCGTCTGTCCGTCTGTCTGTCTGTGTAAAACACGCTCACGTTAAAACTAAGCAAAGGAAATCAACCAAATTCACCCAAAATATTTATTGTTATCCTAAGCAGTTTGGTATTGAAAATCAGCAAAATCGGTTCACAACGTAAAAAGCTATGAGTAAAAATTTCAGACTACCTCGAAAAAAATTACGTTTTTTTCATAATTTTTTTGAAGTTTTCTCAGAAACTACCAAAGATATTTCGATGTATTTTGTCACACATTATTTTTTCATGGCAGTGATTAATTATGTTGAAAATCTTTACAATCGACTCAATATTTCCCATAGCCCCCATACAAAGGTATATATTCCCGGAAATTAGTTTATCGTTAATAACTCCCTCAAATATATCGGTATCAACACAAAATTTTGCACATGCAAATATAATGTGAACAGAAATCATACTGTCAACGCAGATCTCAGTCGGTCCACAATTGGCCATAGCTCCCATACAAGGTCCACTTCCGAAAATCACCTAAACGCACATATTTCATTGATGAATAAAGCTATTGTGATAAAATTCGAGTTAAACATGTTTTGTGTACATACAAATCATTCTACGAAATTTTTTACGGATCGGTCCATTATTGGTCATAGCTCCCATATAAGGCCCACTTCCGAAAATCATTTAAAAGCTCATATTTCATTGTCATATAAAGCTATCTTGATGAAATTCGACACAAATATGTTTAGTGTAAATATAAATCACTCTACGAAATTTTTTCCGGATTGGTCCATAATTGGTCATAGCTCCCATATAAAGTCCACTTCCGAAAATCACTTAAACGCATATATTTCATTGAATTATAAAGATATCGGGATAAAATTCGACTCACATATGTTATGTATACATACAAATCATTTTACTAATTTTGTTACGGATCGGTTCATTATTGGTCATAGCTCCCATATAACCCCATTTCCGAAAATCACTTAAAAATACATATTTCATTGTCAAATAAAGCTATCGTGATAAAATTCGACATAAATATATTTCGTATAAATATGAATTTTTTCACTAATTTTTTTCCGGATAGGCCCATAATTGGTCATAGCTCCCATATAAGGTCCACTTCCGAAAATCGCTTAAACACATATATCTCATTGAATTCTAAAGCTATTGGGATAAAGTTCGACAAAAATACGTTTTGTGTACATTCAAATCATCTCACCAAATTTTTTACGGATCGGTCCATTATTGGTCATAGCTCCCATATAACCCCATTTCCGAAAATCACTTAAAAATACATATTTCATTGTCAAATAAAGTTATCTTGATAAAATTCGACACAAACATGTTTTGTCTTTATATGAATCACTCTACGAAATTTTTTCCGGAGAGGCTCCCATAGAGGGTCCACTTACGAAAATCACTTAAACGCACATATTTCTTTGAATAATAAAGCTATTTGGATAAAGTACGACTTGAATATGTTTTGTGAGCATATAAATCATTCTACCAATTTTTTTTTTCCGTATTGTTCCATATATGGTAATAGCTCCTTCAAAAAAATCACTTAAACGCACATATTTCATTAACAAATAAAGATATCTTGATAAAATTCGACACAAATATGTTTTGTGTAAGGTCGTAGCTCCTATACATATAAAGTTCACTTCCGAAAATCACCTTAACGCACATATTTCATTAATTAACAAGTTAGAGTGCTATATTCGGCTGAGCCGAATCTTAAATACCCTCCACCAGCAACTTTTGTATTAATACATTTCTAATAATTAAAATATTTGTAGAAATAAGTTTTCTCATGTCTTAAATAGAAAAATCCCAAGATTTAAACAGCTTAAATCTACTACAATTCCAAGATTTATTGAACATTAGAAACGCCACTTTCATTTAAATTTTTATAGCGCCCTAAGATATGCTTTAGCGATATCTCGTATTTGCATGTGTGCATGTGTGTGGAAGATTTAAGGATTTTAAAAATACATACATATATATGATTTTGTTCTACACAATTTTAGGGGCAGGACCTAGTATGAGAGATATGACCAAATATAGACCGATCGTGAAAAATTTTTGAAATAGCATTAAGTGCTTTTTGCATTACAAAATAGTATTTATGAACAAAAATAGTATTTATTTATAACATTATTTGGTAATGAGTTATGTGCCTTTAAGTATTTTTCTGAAAGGGACCTTGTATGGGAGCTATGATCAATTATGGATCGATAGGAAAACAATTTCACAGTAATATTTCTCTGTATATGAGCAATATTTTTGCCAAACTTTATATGAATATCTTAATTTAGTAATGAGTTATGTGCGTTTGAGTGATTTTCGGGAGGGGACCTTGTATGGGAGCTATGACCAGTTATGGACCGATCGGAAAAAAAATTATCTGTAATATTTCTGTGCATATGAGTAATATTTGTATCTTAATTACGTAATGAGTTATGCGCGTTTATGTGATTTTCGGAAGGGGACCTTGTATGGGAGCTATGACCAATTATGGACCGATCGAAAAAAAAAATTCACAGTAACATTTCTGTGCATATGAGTAATACTTGTGCCAAATTTTATATTGATATCTTAATTTAGTAATGAGTTATGCGCGTTTAAGTGATTTTAGGGAGGAAACCTTGTATGGGAGCTATGACCAATTATGGACCGATCGGAAAAAAATTTCACAGTAATATTTCTATGCATATGGGCAATACTTGTACCAAATTTTATATGGATATCTGAATTTAGTAATGAGTTATGCGCGTTTAAGTGATTTTCGGGAGGGGACCTTGTATGGGAGCTATGATCAATTATGGACCGATCGGAAAAAAATTTCACAGCAAAATTTCTGTGCATATGAGTAATATTTGTACCTAATTTTATATGGATATCTTAATTTAGTTATGAGTTAAGCGCGTTTAAGTGATTTTCGGGAGGGGACCTTGTATGGGAGCTATGACCAATTATGGACCGATCGGAAAAAAAATTTCACAGTAATATTTCTATGCATATGGGCAATACTTATACCAAATTTTATTTGGATATCTTAATTTAATAACGAGTTATGCGCGTTTAAGTGATTTTCGGGAGGGGACCTTGTATGGGAGCTATGACCAATTATGGACCGATCGGAAAAAACTTTCACAGTAATATTTCTATGCATATGGGCAATACTTACACCAAATTTTATTTGGATATCTTAATTTAGTAATGAGTTATGCGCGTTTAAGTGATTTTCGGGAGGGGACCTTGTATGGGAGCTATGATCAATTATGAACCGATCGGAAAAAAATTTCACAACAATTTTTCTGTGCATATGAGTAATATTTGTAACAAATTTTATATGGATATCTTAATTTAGTTATGAGTTAAGCGCGTTTAAGTGATTTTCGGGAGGGGACCTTGTATGGGAGCTATGACCAATTATGGACCGATCGGAAAAAAATTTCACAGTAATATTTCTATGCATATGGGCAATACTTATACCAAATTTTATATGGATATCTTAATTTAGTACTGAGTTATGCGCGTTTAAGTGATTTTCGGGAGGAGACCTTGTATGGGAGCTATGACCAATTATGGACCGATCGGAAAAAAATTTCACAATAATATTTCTATGCATATGGGCAATACTTATACCAAATTTTATTTGGATATCTTAATTTAGTAATGAGTTATGCGCGTTTAAGTGATTTTCGGGAGGGGACCTTGTATGGGAGCTATGTCCAATTATGGACCGATCTATAAAATTTTTCCTCTGAAAGACTTCTGTTGACATAAGATTTTAATTTGTAAAATTTTGTGAAGATATCGACATTGTGGCGGAAGTTATTAACAAAAAACCCATTTTCCGGGAATATGTACTTTTGTATGGGAGGTATATGAAATTGTGGACCGATTCTGGCAATTTTCAGCAGGGATCAAGATCTTGTGCAGAAACGAATATATGGTGATTTCCATGGCATTATCTTGCATAATTTTCGAGAAAACTACATCAGAATGTGTAAAAAATGCTTATTTTTTTCCGAGGTTGTTTTAAATTTTGATTCATAACTTTTCCCGGTGTGAACCGATTTTGCCCATTTGCAATACCAAACAACTTAGGAAAATGAAGAACATTTTGGGTGAATTTGGTTAAGCTCTATTGCTTCGTTTTATCGTGAGCGTGTTTTACACAGACAGACGGACAGACGGACAGACGGACAGACGGACATAGCTAAATCGACTCAGAATTTGATAAGGACCCAGAATATATATACTTTGTTGGGTCTCAGATGAATATTTCTTGGTGTTACACACGGAATGACAAAGTTATATATACCCTCTATCACCACTGATGGTGGTGGAGGGTATAATAAATCTATTGTAGTAAAATTCGACTTGAATTTTTTTGGCATATAAATCATTATACGAAATTTTTTCCTTAACGGTTGATAATTGGTCACAACTCCCATATAAGGACCATTTCCGAAAATTACTCAAATGCACATTAACAATCAAAGTTATCGGGATAAAATTCGACATAAATATGTAGTTTGTATATATAAATCATTCTACGGATTTTTTCTTCCGGATCGGTCCATAGGTTGTCTTAGCTCCCATATTAATATACATTTTTCTCGACCTAATTAAAATTAGTTTGACACATGCATAAATGTTAGTACCCTCAATAAGGAAACAAAAATTTTGCCAAGTTATCTAAAAATTAGATAGTTAAATGGGTTTCAATAAAAAGTAGCTTGCTGGTGGAGGGTATTTAAGATTCGGCATAGCCGAATATAGCACTCTAACTTGTTCTTTAGAAAAGTTGTCTGAAGCAGAGCAACTTTTTCTATAGGAAAGTCGACTGAAGCAGACCAACTTTTTCTATAGAAAAGTTGTCTGAAGCAGAGCAACTTTTTCTATAAAAAGCTACTTTTTCCTATTGAAAAGTTGTCTAAAGCAGAGCAACTTTCTCTATAGGAAGCAGAGTGACGTTTTCTATAGAAAAGTTGTCTGAAGCAACGTTTTCTATATAAAAGTTGTCTGAAGCAGAGTAACGTTTTCTATAGAAAAGTTGTCTGAAGCTGAGCAACTTTTTCTATAGATAAGTTGTCTACTGCAGAGCAACTTTTTCTATAAGAAAATTGTCTGAAGCCCAGTAACTTTTTCTATAGAAAAGTTGTCTGAAGCAGAGCAACTTTTTCTATAGGAAAGTCGTCTGAAGCAGAGCAACTTTTTCTATAGGAAAGTCGACTGAAGCAGACCAACTTTTTCTATAGAAAAAGTAAACGTTGTTATCAAAGTACAGGTCGCAATTTTCAAGATAATTCAATGAAATTTGGAATACATGTTTGTTTTGACCCAAGGACTAAGCCTATTGAAAATGGTTAAATTCGGTCCATTATTTCACCTAGCTCCCATACAACTGAACCCCCCGAAAAGGGCTTTTGAGCTCATAATTATGTATAATGTTAATGTACCTCGATGAAAGTTCGCACAACTAAGTTTTATACGAGCCTTGATGACCTTGCCGAATTTCGAAATGATCGGACTTCATTTGACCCTAGCCCCCACACAAAGCCCCCTCCAGAAAGTCACTTGAATATCCGCAATTCATTTATTAGCACTGTTATTGTAATGAAATTTAGCACAGACAAATATTATATATATATATAAATACAAATCTATCCAGCACTTTTTATCGGGATCGGTCTACATTTGCTCCTATCCCCCATATAAAGCCTCTTCTTGTAAAATTTTCTAGAACGATTTTAGTTTAGGCAGTAATGAGCGTCAAAGCCATTTTCTGAAGGGGGCTTTATATGGGGGTAGGATGAATTATGAACCGATCCTTATAAAATTTTACAAAGCGATTTAGGTTCCTGTAAAATATGTTCATGTCGAATTACATCGCTATAGATGCTTCTTTTAGACAGTTATGAGCGTTAAAGTCATTTTCTTAAGGGGACCTTAATGGGGATAGGGTCAATTATGAACCGATCCTTATAAAAATTTTACAATGATATTAAGATTCCTATAAAATATGTTCATGTCGAATTTCATCGCTATAGATGCTTCCTTAAGGCAGTTATGAGCGTTAAAGTAATTTTCTGAAGGGTACCTTATATGGGGGTTAGGGTCAATTATGGGCCGATCCTTATAAAATTTTACAATGATATTAAGGTTCCTATAAAATAAGTTCATGTCGAATTTCGTCATTATAGCTGCTTCTTTTAGACAGTTTTGATTGACTCTACCCTCCATATTAAGGTGGACTTTATATGGAGGGTAGAATCAATTATGGACCGATCCTTATAAAATTTTACGAAGGTGTTAAGGTTGCTATCGAATATGTTAATGTCGTATTTCATCCCTATAGCTGCTTCTTTTAGTCAGTTATGAGCGTTAAGTTCATTTTCTGAAGGGGATAGGGTCAATTATTAACCGATCCTTATAAATTTTTACAATCATATTAAGGTTCCTATAAAATATGCTCATGTCGAATTCCATCGCTATAGATGCTTCTTTAAGGCAGTTATGAGCGTTAAAGTCATTTTCTGAAGAGGTCCTTATATGGGGGGTAGGGTCAATTATGGACCGATACTTATAAAATTTTACAGAGCGATTTAGGTTTCATGATGAATATCATCACTATAGATGCTTCTTTTAGTCAGTTATGAGCGTTAAAGTCATTTTGTGAAGGGGATCTTATATGGGGCCTAGGCGAATTCGTGGACCGATATTGCCCATTTTCAATACCAAACAAACTGCATTAATATGAAATGTCTGTGCAAAATTTCAGCCCGCTAGCTACTTCCGGTTGGACTCTATCGTGTTTTCAACAGACAGACAGATAGACAGACGGACTGACATAGCTAGATCGTCTTAGAATTTAATAGGAATCCAAAATATATACACTTCTATGATGAATATTTCGATGTGTTACAAACGCAATGACAAAAACAATATACCCCAATCTTTTTTTATGGCGGTATAAAAATAAATCACATTAAATATTCATAACTGGTGTAGAGTATCATATAGTCGGCCAAGCCCGACTATACTTTCTTACTTGTTTTTGTATGAGATAGGTTATGAGTGCAAACAATGAATTCTTTACTTGGGTTGCGGTTTAACTTACCAGCCTATCGACACGACATTTTATTGTCGCCTCTGTGTGACCAGTGTGAGCTGGTTTAGTACATGGTACACCAAAGTCAGAGATTGGCATTGAATTTGTTTCGGTATTATGTATGTACCACATCGATACCATCTAGTCTCATGGCAGTAGATCCCAAACCATTACTACTGTTATTCAGATGAAGATGATTGCCTACACTAAAGGTACTGCTGCCCACACCAACCGCAGCACCAGCCACAAGCATTTCCTCTTCAACAGCCATAAGATTTTGACTTGTATCAACGGCTACTGTTAGGTCGCCATCAACGATTGAAAGACTTTGAAAGGTGTGATTATACGTGGTTTCAAATGCCATTCCATGACTAAAGGATGTTGCTTGAGTTGTTGAGTGCTGCTGCTGCCTATGTTGTTGGTGGTAAACTGGCAACGATTCAGTTTGAATTCGAGGTTGAAAAATATGATTGCTCTTGTCCTCCTCCATTTCATTCTCTAGTGGTTGTTGTTCTACTTCACAGTTAAATAAGACTGTTGCTGATGATGATTGTAAGCTTGCGATAAATGTTATATTTGTTGTTCAGATATTTGTTCTGGCGGGTGTTGTCGTTTGTACTGACTCTCATTTAATCTACATCAGCTACTCATTCTGCTGCTCCAGTCGAACTTGCCACCACGTCTCTTCATAATATTTTTACTGATGCGGCGGAAGTTTCAACTACTGCCAAAAAATTACATGAAATGGAAAAAAAAATACCGGAAAACGTTAATTTATTGAAGTAAAAAAAGAAAATTGTACACAAAAAGTCTTTAAAAAAATACTATAAGGAAAGAAGGAGAAAAAACTATTTATATTTGTACGATTTTGTACAATGTTGGCAGTAGTAGATGTTCATTTGTGTGAGTATTCATGTCTATGTGTTTTGGTAAAAGGATGGGCTTTTTAATGCTTCATTCCGTTGTTCTTTGCGGCGTCTTTTAAATTTACTTTTTATAATAAAGTTTTCAGTATTTTTTTTTATGAAAGTGATTTCTTTAGTGCTAAGGAAGTGGAAGATATTAAATACAGCGAACAACTTATAAATATATATCTTGAATTATTTAAATTAAAAATATTTCACTTGAAAAGAAATCTATTTTCACCTGTTCAACATGAAATATGTACATATGTGTGTTAATTTGAGCGAGCTTTTCTGAAAATTGTCTGAATGTGACTTATATTATAGAAAAGTTTTCAGTTTCTGAGCAACTTTTTAGATAGAAATGTTGTCAGTTACTAGGCAAGTTTTTACATAGAAAAGTTACTCAGTAACTGACTACATTTCTATGTAAACACTTGTCAGTTTCTGAGCAACATTTTTCATAGAAAAGTTGTCAGTTACTGAGCAACATTTTTCATAGAAAAGTTGTCAGTTACTGAGCAACATTTTTCATAGAAAAGTTGTCAGTTACTGAGCAACTTTTTTCATAGAAAAGTTGACAGTTACTGAGCAACTTTTTTCATAGAAAAGTTGTCAGTTACTGAGCAACTTTTTTCATAGAAAAGTTGTCAGTTACTGAGCAACTTTTTTCATAGAAAAAGTTGTCAGTTACTGAGCAACTTTTTTCATAGAAAAGTTGTCAGTTTCTGAGCAACTTTTTTCATAGAAAAGTTGTCAGTTTCTGAGCAACTTTTTTCATAGAAAAGTTGTCAGTTTCTGAGCAACTTTTTTCATATAAAAGTTGTCAGTTTCTGAGCAACTTTTTTCATTGAAAAGTTGTCAATTTCTGAGCAACATTTTTCATAGAAAAGTTATCAGTTACTGAGCAACTTTTTTCATAGAAAAGTTGTCAGTTACTGAGCAACTTTTTTCATAGAAAAGTTGTCAGTTACTGAGCAACTTTTTTCATAGAAAAGTTGTCAGGTACTGAGCAACTTTTTTCATAGAAAAGTTGTCAGTTACTGAGCAACTTTTTTCATAGAAAAGTTGTCAGTTACTGAGCAACTTTTTTCATAGAAAAGTTGTCAGTTACTGAGCAACTTTTTTCATAGAAAAGTTGTCAGTTACTGAGCAACTTTTTTCATAGAAAAGTTGTCAGTTACTGAGCAACTTTTTTCATAGAAAAGTTGTCAGTTACTGAGCAACTTTTTTCATAGAAAAGTTGTCAGTTACTGAGCAACTTTTTTCATAGAAAAGTTGTCAGTTACTGATCAACTTTTTTCAAAGAAAAGTTGTCAGTTACTGATCAACTTTTTTCAAAGAAAAGTTGTCAGTTTCTGAGCAACTTTTTTCATAGAAAAGTTGTTAGTTTCTGAGCAACTTTTTCATAGAAAAGTTGTTAGTTTCTGAGCAACTTTTTCATAGAAAAGTTGTCAGTTTCTGAGCAACTTTTTCATAGAAAAGTTGTCAGTTACTGAGCAACTTTTTTCATAGAAAAGTTGTTAGTTTCTGAGCAACTTTTTCATAGAAAAGTTGTCGGTTACTGAGCAACTTTTTTCATAGAAAAGTTGTCAGTTACTGAGCCACTTTTTCCATAGAAAAGTTGTCGGTTACTGAGCAACTTTTTCCATAGAAAAGTTATCGGTTACTGAGCAACTTTTTTTTATAGAAAAGTTGTCAGTTACTGAGCAACTTTTTTCATAGAAAAGTTGTCAGTTACTGAGCAACTTTTTTCATAGAAAAGTTGTCAGTTACTGAGCAACGTTTTTCATAGAAAAGTTGTCAGTTACTGAGCAACTTTTTTCATAGAAAAGTTGTCAGTTACTGAGCAACTTTGTCCATTGAAAAGTTGTCAGTTACTGAGCAACCTTTCCTATAAAAAAGTTGTTAGTTTCTGAATAACTTTTTCTATTGAGATATGGTCAGAATCTGACCAACTTTAAGAATACGAAATTTATCAGAGTTTTTGTATAGAAATGTTGTCAGAATCTGAGTGACTTTTTTTAGAAAAGTTATCATTTTCTAAAAATCATTTTGCAGAAAAAAATTTCGGTTTCTATGCAAGAAATGTTTTTTTAAAATTTGCTCAAATTCGTGATGTTTTTTCCATTAACATTTAAGCTCTTGATATAACAATTCTACATTTGTAAGTTTACCATTTTCAAAAAAAGTTTTTTGTTTGCTTTTCAATCTTATTTACATGGTTCAGCGTGAGTTCCCTTTTTGCTACTTTATTATTCTGAAATATTTTTTCAGTAAGTTTTCATTTATTAATTTGAATAAACAATGAATATTGTAAAAAGTGTTGAAATTTTTAAGAAGAAAGCAAAATAAATGGCACAAAAAAAAAACACAAAGTTTTAAGTGGCTTTTATTTTTAAAGAAAACTAAATGTTTGAAGTGTTTACAAAATGTCATCAATGGCGGGCAAGAGATGCAATTAGCAGCTAGTAAGAGTAGAACAAATTGTATATTAATTATTAAACTATAAATATTTATTAAGATTTTTGCTGTTATTGGTGAAGAAATGTAAAAGAAAAGAAAAAAAAAATATTTATAAATAGTTAATAAAGCTCTTTAATTGTGAAATATATTTCTTTGAAGGTTTTTTATTGCAGATTTTTAATTAAGATTTTGTAAGTGAAATTGGTAGAAAATTGTGTTCTTTAATTTAAAGATATATTCTAGTAATTTCAGTTTTAGTTTAAATTATGCTTTCAACGAATAATAACTGCATGAGTTTCAAATTAACTTTTTCTCAATACCTTGCTATGAGCAACAATTTCTTTGATTTTATAAATTTTTGTTGGTTTCTTAGGAAATTCTTATTTAATTTGAATATTATTAAATTTTTAGAAATGTGTTTAATTAATTATACCCTACACCACATTAGTGGGGAGGGTATATTGGATTTGTGCTGACGTTTGTAACGCACAATAATATTGGTCCTATACCCACCTTAAAGTATACCAATCGGCTCAGAATCATTTTCTGAGTCGATTTAGCTATGTCCGTCCGTCCGTCCGTCTGTCCGTCCGTCCATGTAAACCTTGTAATCAAACTACAGGTCGCAATTTTGATGATAATTCAATGAAATTCGGTACATGATCTTCTATTGTCCCAGGGACGAAGCCTATTGAAAATGGTTAAGATCGGTCCATTATTTCTAGCCCCCATACAACTGAACCCCCCAATAGGGCTCGTAATCCTTGTAATCAAACTACAGGTCGCAATTTTGGAGATAATTAAATGAAATTTGGCACATGATCTTTTATGGTATCGTAGACGAAGCCTATTGAAAATGGTTAACATCGGTTCATTATTTCACCTAGCCCCCATACAACTGCACCCCCGAATAGGGCTTTTAAAATTAGTAATCAAACTACAGGTCGCAATTTTGGATATAATTCAATGAAATTTGGCACATGATCTTTTATGGTACCGTAGATGAAGCCTGTTGAAAATAGTTTACATCGGTCCATTATTTCACCTAGCCCCCATACAACTGAACCCCTCGAATAGGGCTTTTAAAACTTGTAATCAAACTAGAGGTCGCAATTTTGAAGATAATTCAATGAAATTTGGCACATGATCTTTTATGGTATCGTAGACGAAGCCTATTGAAAATGGTTAACATCGGTCCATTATTTCACCTAGCCCCCATACAACTGAACCCCCGAATAGAGCTTTTAAAACTTGTAATCAAACTACAGGTCGCAATTTTTGAGATAATTCAATGAAATTTGAGACATGATCTTTTATGGTACCGTAGATGAAGCCTGTTGAAAATGGTTTACATCGGTCCATTATTTCACCTAGCCCCCATACAACTGAACCCCTCGAATAGGGCTTTTAAAACTTGTAATCAAACTAGAGGTCGCAATTTTGAAGATAATTCAATGAAATTTGGCACATGATCTTTTATGGTATCGTAGACGAAGCCTATTGAAAATGGTTAACATCGGTCCATTATTTCACCTAGCCCCCATACAACTGAACCCCCGAATAGAGCTTTTAAAACTTGTAATCAAACTACAGGTCGCAATTTTAGAGATAATTCAATGAAATTTGGCACATGATCGTTTATGGTACCGTAGATGAAGCCTGTTGAAAATGGTTTACATCGGTCCATTATTTCACCTAGCCCCCATACAACTGAACCCCTCGAATAGCGCTTTTAAAACTTGTAATCAAACTAGAGGTCGCAATTTTGAAGATAATTCAATGAAATTTGGCACATGATCTTTTATGGTATCGTAGACGAAGCCTATTGAAAATGGTTAACATCGGTCCATTATTTCACCTAGCCCCCATACAACTGAACCCCCGAATAGAGCTTTTAAAACTTGTAATCAAACTACAGGTCGCAATTTTGGAGATAATTCAATGAAATTTGGCACATGATCTTTTATGGTACCGTAGATGAAGCCTGTTGAAAATGGTTTACATCGGTCCATTATTTCACCTAGCCCCCATACAACTGAACCCCTCGAATAGCGCTTTTAAAACTTGTAATCAAACTAGAGGTCGCAATTTTGAAGATAATTCAATGAAATTTGGCACATGATCTTTTATGGTATCGTAGACGAAGCCTATTGAAAATGGTTAACATCAGTCCATTATTTCACCTAGCCCCCATACAACTGAACCCCCGAATAGAGCTTTTAAAACTTGTAATCAAACTACAGGTCGCAATTTTGGAGATAATTCAATGAAATTTGGCACATGATCTTTTTTGGTACCGTAGATGAAGCCTGTTGAAAATGGTTTACATCGGT